AGATTGTTTCCAGTCTCCAAATTATTAAAATAATAACTTACTGTACAAGGTTAAAAAGTGGTAAAATCCCCGATGTGACTGGAAAACAATCTTAAACACTGAGAAAGACTACATAACCAGATAATAAGCATACTTAAAGAAAAGTCTCATAAGCGACGATGTAGTAATCATAACGTACTTAACAAAAGGTCTAGTAAACAATCATAAAGGTACGTACTTATTAACAAAGGCTTGAAATAATAAGAACATACTTAACAAAAGATTTCGTAAATAATCATAAAGGTACGTACTTAACAAAGGTGTGAAATAATAAGAACATACTTAACAAAAGATTTCGTAAATAATCATAAAGGTACGTACTTAACAAAGGTGTGAAATAATAAGAACATACTTAACGAAAAATCTTATAAACAATCAAGAATGCGTACAGTAATCAGAAAAGACTTAACGAAAGAACTAATAAGCAATCAGAAAAATTTGAAGTAATCAGAATATACTTAATGAAATGTCCGATAGCCAGTGAGTAAGCTATGGAGCAATCAAAACATACTTAACGAAAAGTCTGGTAAACGATCAACAATGTATGCAGTAATCAGAAAATACTTAATGAAAAATGTAGTAAACACCCCTACAGTTGTAAAGCAGTCAGAACATGCTTAACGAAAAGTCTGGAAAAAAATCAGCAAAGTGTGCAGTAAACAAAAGATAACTTAACGAAGACTTTTGTAAACAACCAGGGAGGGTTTAAGTAATCGGAACATAATTAAAGAAAAGTCTGTTAAAGCAATCAGGTATGTGTGAAGCAATCAAAAAATACATAGCAAGAAAAAACAACAACTTAGTATAAGTTCAAGAATGTGTTAAGTAGTCAGAACGTTGTAAACAATTAGTGAAGTAGAAAGCAATCAAAACACACTTAGCGATAAAGCTAGTAAACAATCAGAAAAATGTGAAGTAATCAGGTCATACTCAACGAAAAGTATGATAAACAGAAAGGAAGGAAGGAATTAGGCTTGAATTAGGTGAAAAGCAATCAGGACATACTTAACGGAAATTATGGTAAAGAATGAAGAAATCAGGACATACTTAACGGAAATTATGGTAAAGAATGAAGAAATCAGGACATACTTAACGGAAATTATGGTAAAGAATGAAGAAATCAGGATATACTTAACGGAAATTATGGTAAAGAATGAAGAAATCAGGACATACTTAACGAATATTATGGTAAAGAATGAAGAAATCAGGACATACTTAACGGAAATTGTGGTAAAGAATGAAGAAATCAGGACATACTTAACGGAAATTATGGTAAAGAATGAAGAAATCAGGGCATACTTAACGGAAATTGTGGTAAACAATCAGCGAAATGTGAAGCAATCATAATATTAATGAAAGTCTGGTAAAAAAACCAGCGATGTATGAAGCAATCAGAACAATATCTCGTCAACTTAAAGTTACTTAAGTATTATTACACCGCCCCCCAGTAGCACAGCGGTATGTCTGCGGACTTACAACGCTAGAATCCGGGTTTCGATACCCGTGGTGGGCAGAGCACAGATAGCCCAATGTGTAGCTTTGTGCTTAATTTCAAAACAAAAACAAGTATTATTACAAATGAAAAATGTATTTGCATCACAAGAATCCTGGCGTCATGTTGTCAAATGATAAAACAAAATCATTCTCTTGTCTATTTAATAGTTCGTGATACTTTTTAAACTTTGTTATTTCTATAAATTCGTGGTTAATATTGGCTTTAATGTCCCGTAATATCCTACGTTGTGTTTTTGTACATATTCTGCTATGGTCGAATTTTCTGTTCTTTCATTTTCACACAACCCATAGCATAACACGTACAAAAACACAACATAATATATTAAGGAAAAAAAAGCAGCAATATTGGCTCAACCAAAGGGTATTAAAGCCAATAATATCTGCAAATGCTTAGAAATAACAAAGTTTAAAAAAGGATCATGAATATTGCTAATTATTAAATAGACACGAAAGTCTGGCTAATATCTGTGTAAGAATGTGGCTGGACCTCCTCTGAGATTTATGCAGAAATGTAAACTTACACACAGGTCATATGATCTATAGAAAAAAAAAATACATATGACACTTATGTCTTGCAAGTTCACTCCCGATGATGATGTGGTAAACGTCGAAACATCTAGAGTCAACATTTTAAAAATGTTTTTAACTGACTATCGATTTTAACGTTGTGTTTAATTTATTTATCATTATAACCTCTTTATTTTGAAGAGGCATCATTTTAATTTTCCATGTCACAATGATTCTGTCAGTCGTTCATTTTGTGTTGGTAAGATTCATGTGTTATTTTAGAATCACGTGATGTATTAGTAGGCTTTATTTAACATACCGAACAATTAAGAGATTTACTTATTTCACCTTGTAGCGAAAAACACTGTCAATCTTCCACTTTCTTAAGACAATTCTTGCGTTTTCTTTGACACGACATTAACAAAGTTGCTGTTGTTGAAGACACTATAAATCTTCATTAATTGCAATCCTCTTTTGCCCCTCAGTGGCATAGCGATATGTCCGCAGACTTACAACGCTAGAAACCGGGTTTCGACACTCGTGGTGGGCAGAGCACAGATAGCTCTTTTGTAGCTTTGTGCTTATCTTCAAAAGAAATAAGCAATCCTCTTCCTTAAGACTCTATATGTCTCTTCATCGTTCAAGACACTACCAATATTCCGTTTGATAAAAACAACCCCGATATCTTTGTTGTTAAAAAGATTATCAATCATTCGTTTTCTGAAGACATTGCTTTTTTTCCTTGTGACGCATACAAAATTTCTTTTATTAAAGACACTACTAATTGTTTAAACAATAAAAATAAGTGTGTTGAGCAAAAAACTTCCAATTTCCTTGTTGTTTGAGATAATTCAATTAATTCTATTGACCAAGACACTACCGATTTACCTGTTGTTCAAGACACTAACATTTGTTTTTTGTTTTCAAAAGTAGTTAAAACTTCAGTTTATCTTTAAACATGGTAATACAGTTGGACATTACAGACAAATATGTAGAAACATGAACTGAATAATTGCATAAGTATATACAGCTATGGATTAAAACAAGAACAACTTTGAGAAAACCATTAGAATGTCACTTACCATGGAAATTCAGTAACTCCTACCTATGATAAAACTATGAAGCATTAAATTTATGCATAGTAACCAGAATGTTAATATTAAAGTAATAATACTATGCATAGTATTCGCTGAGCTATCATTAAAATGACAGTCATATTCTGTATTTGACTCACAGTTAAAGCAGATGTTTTAACCACGATGACTATTAACGCAGTAATCGTGTCTATGGAATCCAGTGATTTATTATAGCAAGAGTCTCCACGGTAACCGTTAAAAATATAGTTCATAAAAATGTTTTATTGTGTGTGGAGAAAAAGCACAATATATATTGATAAGCTCCTCTGATCTACATTCGGTAGCAAACGAAAGCAATTGCAGGGAACTATTGAGCGTAACTTGGAAGTTAATATTGATATATACCTAGAGTTACAACTGCTACTTATTGGAAGTTAATACTGATATATACCTAGAGTTACAACTGCTACTTATTGGAAGTTAATACTGATATATACCTAGAGTTACAACTGCTACTTATTGGAAGTTAATACTGATATATATACCTAGAGTTACAACTGCTACTTATTGGATATTAATACTGATATATACCTAGAGTTACAACTGCTACTTATATCTAAGGAAGGAAAAGCATATTATGTGAAAACAGAGGGTTGTGTGAACTTCAGTTCAATCCTTTCCATATGCTAATGTAATGGCGTGGTGTCACCACAGGCGATGGATATAGATCTTATATATTTGGTTGTCTGCAGCTTTCCGACCATTTCAAAGTGTCATGTCTCCACAGGTAGACATATGATTTACGGGATACATTGTAGAAAACGTTTCCGAAAAGAACTACTCCTATAGCGAGATTGTTAAGCGACAATGAATTAAAGTATACGGTGTTTCCAACGAACAAGTCTTCAATATTCTTCATGAAAATTGAAATCTCAAAAACTAGAGCGTGTAGAGTGACACTACAAACACATCTATAACAACGATCTTATCTGAAAAGTGAAGAATATACTATGAATAGAGAATCCATCACCCAAAGAGCCCATGTGATGAATTTTAATACATCTTCTTGTAACGTTAACGAGATAATAAACAATGATTTAAAGTCTTACAAGCCTTAAAATAAGAAGTTTCTCGAATCACCTCGAAATGAATGATATTTTTATGAGTAAAAAGGCTAAAGAAAATTGAATCATAGCAGTCCCATTCGTCCAAATATGTACCAAATCTTCCGATGCAGCTACAATATATTTTTATGTCTTTGACCTGCCTAAATGTGGTTTTGGAATCAATGTTCACGTGGAGTGGAAGGTCTGTCAAAAGTTTGTCAAGATATATGGTTCAAAGGCAATCTTGTCATTCTTCGTAGAAGATTGCTTGTTGTTGTTGTGTTAGAACAATGGTGCATCATTACTACCGTTAATGAAGGACGTCTAATGTAGTTTCAATGCAGAATAGGGCTTGGAATGTCACTCTTAAAAAAGTGCTATTAATATCAGTACTACGATTCGTAAACGCTTAAACCTATCAACTTGGAACATAAGGAAACGTATAAAAATTGTGGATAATTCTGAACACTTAACAGGTAAAGGTTAAATAGCAACTTACTACGAAAACCCACAGACTATTGTTTTCATAGTGCGAAATGTAAGTATTACCGAATATGTTCTGAACTTTTCCAAATACATTTCTATTCAATAAAATGATTATAATTGCACGGAATTTTGTGCCTTTGGGACTGCAAAGTACATGATGTTGAAACGTAAGCTCTCAGTGATATAACATGATCATACTAATTCCAATTATACGGAACAAAACCACTGAGTACACTTTTATTTCAAAATATATTATCAGTTAAATGTTGCTTTAAAAGATAAAGTTCCGTAATAACATTTAATGTTTTACTTCTAATTCATGAAACTCTGACAGTGAACAGGCCTCAGATTGACTGACGAAATAGGTTTAGTTTCGTGTATAATGATATTTCGATACAAAACAATATTGAATTATTTGATAAAAAAAGGTTTTCAGTTCAATATAAAGAACGTACTTCATGCATATTTTCCCAGTAATAAATCTTTATAAGTTTAAAAACTTTTTCAAAAACATAAAAGTATTTAGTAGACTGTGGTTATTGTCTATTTTGTGTTAAACGCAACTTGTGGTTTCTTCAGTATTCGGAAAATTTCTTTTTGTTTCGGAATATCTTTTTGTAATATCATAATTATTAAATATACTTAAGCCATAGTGATTAGAGCGTGCACAAGTGTATTTCGTGGAGTTTTGTCCGCTCTTCTAAAGAACTGGGATGTTTTCATTCAAACTGTTCTCAAGGCCGGTAATCTTATTTTCTCTATTGCAAGAGGTGATGCACTCTTCTTCTCTGAACTCGTCTAGAGAATGTACTCTTCTTCTCTGAACTCGTCTAGAGAATGTACTCTTCTTCTCTGAACTCGTCTAGAGAATGTACTCTTCTCCTTTCCACTCGTCCACATGATGCACTCTCTTCCTCTCCACTCGTGAAGGTGATCTACTCTCCTCCTCTCAATTCATCAACAATATTATTTTCTCCTAGATTAGCTAATCTTTCTTCAGAGATACAAACCAAATAGTCTGGTCCTTTTTCACTATCAACCACATTTGCAGAAGTTGCGAACAGAATACCTCTTTGAAACTTCTCTAAAGGCGTTGACCTTTCATGACCCATCTTATTGCTACACGTACAAAGATCAGTGTTACGTAAACTCAGAGAATGTTCAATTTCATAACAGTTTTGATCTGCTGTACAATTCGTTGTTACCTGGTTTGATGTTTTATTGGCCTTTCTTCGGATGTTTATAAGGAACAGCGCAAGAGTTCCTGCTAAGATACATCCACACGAAAAAATAAAACCCATCTTTGGTCTTTTACCTTTGTTGATGTATCCTGCAAAAGAAGAGGAAAATATCAATCTGTATTATAGTGCCATGCGAAGATACTTGAATTGCAATTGTAAATATATACTTGTGTTAAAGAAAGATTTGTGATTATATTTTACATTAATGTTTTCTATATATCTTTCCAGAACAAATTAAGTAAATTTCGAAACACTGTATCTATAAGTTTATAAATTTTATAGCAAGCGAAATAAGAAACAAAGGTTCAGGTAGATTTTATCATTAGACGGTTGTTAACAGAGTTGTGACGATTTTAATCAGAAAATAATGAATAATTTCTCAAAAGAAGTATTTTCTAATAGAACAATATATCTTTGTTGGTATCAATAACGTACTTTAATTTTCGTTATGTTGGTCTTCGTAATTGTTATTTCTAATATTTGTAAATTAAATCATTTTAAACTTTCAGAAAGGTTAAAATAGAACAATTCAGTAACTGGTATAACATTTTTTTAGAATAAATACATTATACATTTTGGTACTTGTAAAAGATTCAATGAATGTAATTTTATAACTAGAATGCAAATAGACGTAAGAAAATCGTGTAGAAAGATACTATACCATCGAAGAACAGCTCATAAGTGTGTATAAAAATAGTCACACTTAAAGGCACCGGAACTGACTAGTGTACATTCAACATTTTTAAAGCAAACGCTGATAGCTAAAGATACAATATTTCAGATTATAATGGTTCGAAATGCAGCGTGTAAAATAGTATTGAATAATGATATGACAGGAACGATTGTGCTAACTACTAATGTGATGGAATGTGTTGTTTGAGATTATATCAGTTAAAGATATTATGTCTTGAGATTATGATGATTAAAGACGTGGTGTTTGCGATTATGGTAGCTAAGGGCCCTATTTTCAAATGAGGAATTACATAATGCCATTAAAACATCTTAGCGTTAAGTTATCTTCCACTTGGTTTGAAAAGTTTATAATTATTTGATTTAGATAAAGTAGTTTGGACTGTGGAATTATGAAAACAGCACTTGCTTAAAAAAGTAACCATGAAAACAGGAGAAATAGTGTTCAGTTGTGAGAGAGCAAATTCTATTTCCTTATGATTATGGTTGTGTTTATCGTGTGTGTTTATATATTATTTCCTTCTATCGTTTAATTTATCTATGAATTTTTAGTTGCATTAAAATATACTAACTCATCTTCTACATAACAACGGTATGTCTGCTGACTTATAATGCTAAAAAACCGGGTTTCGATACCAGTCGTAGGCAGAACGCAAATAGCCTTTGTGTAGCTTTGTGCTTAATAACAAACAAACAGGCTTCCCTAACGGTGACGTACAGATACTACTAATGTAGCAGAAGAGTATGTAAATTTATGATCACATGAGGTTGTACTCTCATGAACTACTCTGTGAATAAAATACCTTGCCAGAAGCTTCACTAAGAGAGAGAAAGAGAGAGTTATTGAAAGGTATAGTTATTGCTGTTTGTCACTCGATATTGTTATTAATATTGAAAGGTATTGTTTGAACATTGTATTTGCTGTTTATATTTTCTTTTGGAACTAGGGTTTTTCTTTCTGTTTCTTTTTCCTGATTCTTTACTATTGATTAACTAATATTTATGATTATTACTAATATTGGTGTGAAGTCCTGTGTTTTGCTAAGTGTTGAATTTATTTCAAAGTATTATTGTTATAAATGAATTGTATTTTTGTTGTTGAACCCTGACTGTAGCAGCGTGTTCATTTTAGACCATTACACATTTGGTTAACCTAACTTTACTAAAGGCTTCAAAATTTTGTTATGCTATTTATTGAGTATATTGTGTTCTTGCTCTCTTTTCTTGAAAACACTCAAAATTTCGAAGGTAAATTTATTTTCTACAAATTTCTCTTGCAATACCCATGTTATAAATCTACTTGCAAGTGATTTTAATTACAAAGGCTCAATCACACATTATAAGAATGTTCAGTCTACTCTAACGTAGTGTCAACACTGGAGGAGTCCTGGGTGTACTTGAGCGACTAAGAATAAAAAGGATTTGATACCGACCACGATGGAATAAGAACTTCCAACAAAGTACAGAGAATCCAAATAAATGTTTTCGTCACTTTATGATTGGCGTAGGTTTTCAGATAATGAAACATGTAAATTTCACAAAGTGGATAAAAAAGGAAGTCATCTAGCTGTTCAGTCTTTGGACATCTGTTGTTAAATGTGATCTGCCAAGTTGATGTCCTCGTACAATGGAGAGTTTGCGGGAAGTTTGTAAAGATGTATGGTGTAAGATTTACATCGCTGCCCTACACAGGAGCTTGTTACAACGAAAATTGGGCGCTGGTTCAATAATGTAAAGTCATGGCCATAGACTGAACACAATCAAAAATGGGAAGAACAGTTCTAAGAGCAACACAGACCCTAGATCACCGTTCTTATCAATTGAGATAATTGTTCTTTTTAGCACAAAGCTATACAATGGGCAGTTTCTGCGCTGTACACCGCTGGGAATCGAATCCTGAATTTTAGCGTTATAAGTCCCTAAAATTACCGCTGACTCATTAGAGGACAAACTAACTCCCAATAATTTGTATTTCTGTAACATGTTTTTTTTCATTTACGACTTTGTACAGTTTTAATCATATTTCATCATAGTGCAAACATTTACAGAATAAAAACCCACAGATTTACTCACTATTGCCCTTAATATATATCTACATTGTTACGCAGTAATTGATAGGTAAATATATGAGGTGGAAAACAGCTGGAAATAAAAGTAACATTTTTTAATTTTATATGCTTTACTAAGCAACCATTAGAATAAATAGTTACCTGTGACGGGAATTCCAATTAAAACAGGAATAAACTGACAGAACTGTAAATAACCCCAAGAGCCATCAAAATAGTTCGGTCTGACCTTCTCGTATAGGTGCATTTTTAAACTATATTGATATCCGCCACAGAAAATTCCGTAAAACCAGACAAATAAAACATATCCGTAGTATCCGTTTAAAGCACAAAAAGACAAAATGGAGATTGCGAGTCCTAACATGGTAGTTTGGAAAACGTACAAGCGAGATATTCTACACTGTGGTGTATTCTTTAATATTGGCAGGCTAAACGCATAACATCCTAGAGAATATGCTAAGCCTAGAAAAACTTGGAGGAGGAGAATGGAGTTTTCTTCCAGTCCTTCATTCTTGGCTATATAAACCTAAAAAAATAAATAAATATGATTATATCTATAATGAACAATTATAAACTTAATTCAATATCTGTCTCTTTCGCTATCACGTTCTTTAGATTGGATATTTAAAAAACACAACATAAGTTACATTATTTGTAAACAGTAAACAAAACGATGACACAGCAAGTGAATTTTGTTTCTGAAAAAATTTTCACAGATGTGGTTTTTAAGAGTGTTGGTTGCTGACCCTTAGTGCAATCAACTAATAACAGAAAAAGTAGAGCATTGCGAATAGAACAAACTAAGCTTTTTGTTTAAAACGTTATATTTTACATATTATTATTATACCAAAAGGATATAGAAACATATGATATAGACAAAACAAGAAAACAGAAAAAAATTGCTCTAAAAATAGCAATAATCCTTCAAGGTGCTCAAAGTAATCGATATTGTAAATAACAATTTTTATTGTGTGAAGTATGATTATAATTAATTATACTTGTCATGAGACACTAGTATTAGGCCTATTATACTTTTTATCACTACATTCTTTATGTAGTTCCTTAGGGATTTAGAAGATTTAGAAGAGTGTATAATAATAGTATTTAAACCACACTATGTTCAAGAGTTTCGTTCAACCCAGAGCTCATCAGCCCGGCTGGGGAACAACAAACCCAGCGGTGATCAGAATATTATTTACATAAACCACTTAAGACGAACAAAACTGAGGCCATAAGGAAATATATGTTATAAGGATTCTCTTTGAAATTAGTTCCTTTCATGTAAAAATGCGAATTGTAAAAGAAATAAAAATATTTTAAAATTTACATTTACATGTATACTAAGTTTAATTGTGTTGTTAGTCATATTGATAAACTAGGCACAAAAACGACTTAAAAGCAGTTAGATTTATCCCAAAACATTAAATGTATGCTTTTTGTAATTTGTTATACTCATATCTTATAGCTTTAAAACTATTAGACTTTGCTATCAATAAAATGAAAATCATTTCTCTACGGATGCACTACGGTGGTTTTAATATAAGTTTTGTCGTTTTTTACGCCAACTTCTGATGGCGCCATTATGGACTTAAATGGAGTCACGAATTTTGATAACAAATATTATTTGTTTTCTTAGGTTGTTAATAGACTGTCAAAACTTAAAAATTCAATTCAGACAATAGACTTAAAGTGGTTGTCAATTGTTTTTTCGTGTCTTGTAGTAAAACGTTGTTATAATCTCTTACATTGTACATATAAGTTTTTATTACTTGTCCAGCTTGAGGATTTCACACCTAACAATAAACATACTTTAGAAAGGTTAAAAAATCAGAAGAACAGTAGATCAATCATAAGGAGTTGTTGTTGTTGTTATGTCTTATAGAAAGTCATAATCCATCAAAATTTACGTTGTAGCTTACCAAGTAGAAACAAGGTGTGTATGCTCCGAAAGACGCCAGGAAAGCTGAAAATATAATAATTTGTAACGTTTTCTCCTTAAGAGGTGAAAAGTCTATGAAAGGAGCTTTGTCTTGCAAATTCTTTCTACCTTTAACCTTTCGTTTCTGGTTCTTTAAGTGAAGAATTGCTCTACGCTGAGGATGATATAACGAAGCTGGCCGGTAGAACATCCCAAGAAAGAAACTTATAAATGTGACACCAGTTACAACATGAAGTCCTAACCTCCAGTCTAATAACCTGGAAAAAATAAGATATCACTTAAAAACTTGTAAGTTGCAACCTATAATCAAATAACTTGGAGGAACTAGAAAAATACCACTTAGAACTTTGAAGTTTTTATTTCTAGATCAATAAACTGGAAGAATAAAAACCATATAAAAATTATAAGGTCATTGCTGCAATCTAGTAATTTGTATGATAAAAAAACGAATATAACTTAGAAGCCCAGTTTTCTAATCCAAGAACCTGTAAGCAGAAAAAACAGCTCAGAAATTTGAAAGTCCTAATGGTCAGTAAAATAACTTGGAAAAACAAAATATCAATTATTAACTTGAAAGCCCTAATCTTCAATTAACTAGCCTTAAGAACACAAAAAAGCTAAAATCTGGGTTCAATTCCAACGGTAGATACAGCGAGCTATGCGCTTAACAAATAAACAAACAATTGAAAAAATAATCGCTGAGAAACTTAGGGATCAAAATCATCAGTCTGAAAGTAATATTGAAAGATTCCCTCTGAATCTTATCGTCACGAATTTAAATATTCATACGAAAAAAAAACCTTGATAAAATTCCTTAATTTCCGACTTTAACTTAAAAAAGACAGAGTTTTTGGCAGTACATACTCAGCAGATTTGATTGTTCTAATTATCTACTGAACTAAAATGTTGCTTTAAAAGTTTTATAAAGTATGTTTTACCTTACTTATTTAACTCGAAATTTAGTAAAGTATTTGTTAAAGTTCAAACAGATCAGACACAGACTAAATTTAATATTAAAATCTTGGAGATTTCAAAATATTTGTTTTCATAAACATTGTCTTTGATTGGAATCAATTAACTTCAAATGATTTACAAAACACAAGGAAAAATATAACTTACAAAGTTAATAACAAACAGTATCGCTTATTTGACCAAGGTTGAAGCCTAGCTAACAATAAACCTTCTTTTATGCACAGTTCCAGCTAATTATTTGTTCTTGAGAGAACTTTAAATTGTCCTTTATAAGTTTACTATGTTTGCTTAGCGCATGGCTCTTAATATTAGAAAATGACACTGGTTTCAAATATGCATGCTTTTGTATGCGCATTTGAAACCATCTATTAGCGGATCCAACACAACATATAAAATGTTAGGACACTTATACTCATATACAATGTTTGAAGTTTTGAATATAGATAGTTGATTTTGAAACTAAAAGAAATACAGGGTAATCCAGATAGCCCAACTTACGTCGTTGATTTCTCAATAAGATTACTGGTCTACCTGTAAGTGGTATTACTAAAGAAATATTTAGTTTAGGAGTATTTCAATTTGGCTGTTTTGGAATTTCTTATACCATTTAAATAGTTACGGATAACTTTGTTTATAATAAATATTGAAGCAACATTTTTAGTTAAGATTTTTTAATGTTTTCTAGTTCTTTATATAAAAAAGCATATGTTATGGGTATTTTGTACGTATTATTAATTAACATATTCATTAGGTTCTTAGAAGAAACTTGTAGAACATTGTAAAAATTTACGTATAAACATACATATTTGTTTTATAAAACAAAAGTTAAATTTTACTATGTTTTTTATGGATGAAGTTGTCTAAAAAGAAAGTTGATAATATTGTTGGTGTTCAGCAGTGAATTTTATATTGGTATATCTATTGTTGAGATACTACAAACAGCTATCCACGTGTTTAGCATCTTTAAAGGTAATGAAAGTTTCATCCACACATTTTCTATAATATAGTGTTTTAAACAAAACGAAAGACTTTCACCATGACAGCAGTTTTCATGTTAGCATAGGAACAAGTAGCAGCGAGAGACAGGGCTAATTTTGATCACACAATTGAAAACCGAATACTGAACATGAATTAAAAACGGCTTATTTCTTTCGGATTTTCGTGTATAGCAGCACAAAATTTGTTTGTGCTAGCTGTCCCTAATTTTGAACTGACAGACTCTAAGAAAGGTAGCTAGTCAAAAGCACTCACTGCTAACTCTTGAGATACTCTAATATAATACTGGGATTTGACCGTTACTCTTATATACCTGAAGGTTGGCTAAGAAATAGTCTAATAGCTTGTGCTTAAAATCATTTGCAGTCCTTTAGAATTTTGAAGGTTGGAGGTTTTATAATTGTTTTGTTTTATTCGTATTTATATGTAGGAGGACGTTTTACAAATACGTTAAATAGTATTTATTATTGAAAATATTTATTGTGTCATTTGCATAATAGCAGACATAAAACTTCAAGTATAAACTGTAGATTCAGTGAGTACAATGATAATTTTCAAACTTATTTTCCTGATTAGTTGATATTCATTCTGCCAATACTGTATAATTTTTTCATTTTTTTAATTTTTTTACAGACTGGAGAAAAAGCATTCGTCGACGCTGTTTTCTGCACTAAATTCAACATTCAAATATTTAATAAAAGGAGACTTTCAACATGTAATTCGTTAAAATGTGTGGTATTTGCAGTTAAAGTATATCTAAATTTTGGACTTAAGGTTGTTCAATTTGTCTTTTCAGTATTCAGATTTATATTCTTAGATTTCCAAAATATAATTATATTGCTATTGTAAATACCGAAAGACGCAATCAATTTACTTTATCATTATTAAAGATTAATATTTTAAGTATTATAAAAATCTGTTAGACATAGATTTTTTTGAGTATTGTAACACCTAAATGTGTTAATGTTAAAGTGTCTAATTCAAAATTTCAATATTTGAGGCAGTATTTGCAATTTAAAAAAACAGCTAAATGTTTAAATTAAACAGCTTCACCTAGTATAAGCTTCCTTGTTAAAACAGGAAAGTAGAAAATTAGATCATATCTATTTACTTAACTGGATAAAGGTACAAAATAATAAAGTTGTACTAAATCTAGAAAATAATATTTAGAAAAATTAAAACAATTAACAAAATTTAAAATATAAAATTATATTGATCATCCTGATTATCTATGATAATCTAATATTTTAATCAGTCTAATTATGTTTTAAGTGAAATAGAAACATGGTTTAAACTTTATCGTTGCACTAAAAATACTTAAATTTAAGAATATATTTTAAGTTATGGTCAATTGTTGAGCAATCTTCTAAACAAAAATACAAAACAATGAATTTTTAAACAGCGTGAGAACTGAAGTAAGTGAAGTTTCTTTAACATCGTTTAATAATTATAATTTTCGAGATAATCTTGTAAACATAAAAATGATGAATTTTAAACCATGAAAAGTTAAGTAGAGATGAAAATAAAGTGATAACATAGCCAGGTAAAGTACATTATATAGTAATTGAAATAACATTCTTAAATAGTTTTTAAATATTAGAAATATATTTATAGAAATTATCATATGCTTAAATTAAAACAAAAACAACTATATTATAAAGATACTTAGTGAAGTACAAGATAGAAAAATTATTAGCAGAAGATGACAATAATAAAACAAGGTCCCCAGGTTATCATTCTGGTATCATGTGTACAGCTCTTAAGGTCTGTAATGATGGACATCCGGTAAGACAGATTGTGTCTAATTTTGGCACATACGATCATGAACGTGCTGGTTTGCCATTTAAGTTTCTCACTGTTTACTAGTAACGAATATACTATAAAACACGCTTTTGAATTTTCGCAAGAAATGCAAGGGCTGAATGTTGATAGTACAGTCTAATGTGCAAAACGTCATATAGAGTGCCTGTCTATATAACCAACCAACACACCGTTAGATGTAACTATAAGTTTGTGCAATTAGCTTTTATATTGTAACGAATTTGTTATTATATATTCATTTTAATATCAACGTTTGTTTAGATTTAGATTATATTTTAAAACATGCATAGTTTATAGTGTTAAATATGTTTTGTGAAACTCCAGCTTATTCTCCAAAGTTGTAGAAGATTCTCGAGGGTAGAAACCAACAATACATCTATATACGTAAACGTTTAAATATAACTCAGTATTGTTATGTAATCTGAATTTTCTAGAAAACCTTCTCACGCCTATAAATACAACCAACGCGACGCGCCAAGAAGAGTGTCTATTATTAGTTCGCTATAATCAGTGTGCTATAAACTTCGAAAGCTATAACTGTGATTGTTATAACGGTTATCAATCGGAAAACTTAGATATTTGACAAGGAACATTTACAAAGTTCGAACATTACAAATTATTTAGCTTCAATGGATTCTCATCGGACATTAGTATTTTTACGAAAACATTACCTAACTTCAAGGGTGGAAAAACCTAGCGTGTGTGGCCAAGGACAAAGCTAGCTAGCTTCCCGACGAATCGTACTTACATCAACTCGTAATTAACTCGCTTATCGTAAACCCTCGAAAAGATATCAAGGAAGTTACCGACTAGAAAGAAAACTTTATATAGTTTGTAAGTTTGTGAAACTTTTGTTAATAAATCTTTGTTTGTAATAACTATTTGTAATAACTGTTATTGTAAATTTTATTGTTGTGTGTATATTAAAATGCATTTGTGTTAAAAACGAAGACGGTGAGTATCAATCTTGTTGGCAAATATCGTAAATTCACTAATATATCGGCATATATTTAAATACTATATCCAAAGTACAATTAAACTACTAACTTTAAATTATCAGTTAACTCGGCATCGGATTATTCGAAATTCGAATACGTAACCACAAGGCATTTAACGAGTTATTTTTTGAAGTTGAAAGAAAAGTGTACTTCTTTGCGGTTTTTGCCGACAAGATGATTTTGTATTACCTTGACTGAGAGTAAAATCACGATACATTTAAGACTGGTCACAAATTAACCTTGGGAATGGCTAGCTTTATAAATTATAATGATAAGGGAAAGGATTTTCCAAATATAATTTGTAGCGAAAAAAACATTAAACCTTGGCCAATTTTCTTACTTCAAACCCTTAAATATGTTTGAAAAATCACATGCTGACAAGTTCTAGCTCACACCTCTAAGAATCTTGTTGAACCTATATACTTTAAATCCTTATTATAAAATACTATCAACACTAATGTAAAACACTT